GTATTGAGGTGTTCATAGAATTCTTCCATTTCTTCGTCTGTGTGTATTGATGTTGGTGCAAAAATTTAAATTATTTTAAAGTGACCTTTTCGCTCATATTTATGATTAATAAATATGTGTTTCCGGTATGTATATATGTAATATATAATAATATATAATATATAATTGTATATTTGATACAATATGTTTCCGGACTCTAGCGAGATGCAGTTTTCATATTTTCTTTTTACCTCTGCTAGTCCGATTATGTCCCATTGCAGGTTTTTAACTTCTTCCTCTAATTCATAGAGTTTCTCGTCTTTAGACAAAGATCTTACATTGAAAGTTGAGATATACATTTTTGTTGTCTGTATTGACGAAGTATTGTCTCCCCCAGATCCGATGAGACTGACCTTATTAGATAAGGTATAGGATTTGCCACAATGTGAACCACCAACCTGGGGATCAGTTCCGTTAGGGTTTGTATTCGCCATTTGAGAAGGGAGGTGTTGACCATAAAATACCACGCTGGTCAGACGGGTTGGTGAGTTTATAAATAGCCGCCCACTCTGGGTCAGATGCTGTTCGTAGCCGTCCACTCTGGATCAGACGCTACTGATTTTATATTAACCCTAAAATCAGGGGGTGTCACTTCGGCCATCCTCGCCGTACCGAAGGTATCCTTCTTCGCCTTGAATGCCGTTGTGGTCTTCATCCGTGATCCTGAACAAGGGACCCTGAGCAGGTACTAGTTTCCCGGGTCAAGAAACACCTGGAATCTGTGGGGGGCAGGGAATGATTCATTCTCCCTGATAGGACTGTCTAAGGAGTTCCTACCCACTACTTACTTAAATGTTATTAAGAAGTTATTATTTTTGCTTTGTTTTTGTGTACTATTATATAGTTGGTATTTAAGTAGGTATGACTTATATGAAAAAGTTATATAGTGCAGATCCCAGAGGCGACTATGAGTGTCACTCCTTCTCGATGGTGACAATATTTAACCATTAAATAACCTCCTAAATTGATATAGAATTTAATTTATAGCAAAATTTGTTATATAAACTTTTCTCATTGAGTAAATATTTTCCAGGATATTCACACTTGAAATAATTTTTGATTTCCTACCTAAACAACGCATGTTTTTGGTAGGTATTCAAAAATTACTCGTAAATAGTACATTTTAACAAATAGCCATCCAAATTAAAAAATAACCTTTCAAAATAATAAACCGAACGGTTTTTTTATAATACTCAGACTGTTTTAAAACGTATTTAACGACATCTTTAAAATGAGCTAAGTTACAATGTTTCGAAAGGAAAACACATGAGTTATTAACGAAAAACACGATTATCTCATTAAAAAACGAAAAAAGAAGATATTTATGTATTAACAACATATCCTAAAATGTTAACCATCTTAAAAATGCTTAAAATGCTTAGATCTGAAAAAACTTTATTAATATTGAATTAATTTTTGAAATTTGATCAAAATTTTTTGCATCGTTTTTGGGGCCAGAAAATTTCCACTTTCATTAAAATTCATCTTTTGAATTGACATGATTTTTAGACGCCAAATCTCTGTACTGGAGAGACTGGACTAGAAGTTATAACTAGAAATATCCGGAAAATTTAGAAAAAAATCGTTGCGGACATCACACTTTGAATAGACCTTTCAAATACAGAAAATAAGCTTTCCTTTTTATTTGGTATTATATATACATAAATATACAATAAAACTTTAAAATCATTAAAAATAGAAAATTTTGAAGAACCGTATTATTCTTAAAATTAGTCCTAGAATCTTTTATTGTAGACCACTTTTAAGTTTATTATTTTTCTTTTTACTCAATGTACCATTGCATATACCGAAAACTAAGTAGTAAAAAGTTATAGAATAATGTTTGCGAACGAATAGAAAAAATAGCCCAAAAATGGTGTGTGACATTAAAAAATCATATCTCGAATACTGTGAATCCTAAAGACTCTTACCATACGTCATTTTGATGAAGAAGGATATATGTTCTTTTCTGTGAAAGAATATCTATACCTAGAATATCGTAGAAAAAAGTTATGGGACAAAATAGAAAAATTGCGCATGTTCCTGTTTTTTGCCCCGTTTTTTGAATATATTTTTTGTTAAAACGAATTTTTGTTAACTTGATGACATATAACATAATAATATATGACATTTAGATTAAAAAATTTAACTTTGAACAACATTTCTGTAGATGTATATACTAAAAGTGCATAGAATTTACCCAAGTACACCTTAGTGCATAGGACTAATTCACCCCTTTCTTAAAAACGGACCACTTTAAAGGGTGGCACTCAGCACTTTTTTCATATTTGGGGGTCCATTGACTATATGATATAATAAAATTAATTTAAAGTTGTAGTTTCTTTCTAAAGTACATAAACAATAACTCGCAAATAGGTAGATCCAAGGAGTATTTCGGAAAAATATGTATACGGAACATCACTGATGCGAAATAAAATCGTTAGCTCAAAGACGACTAGTTGCTAGTTGATATTAGGGAATAAACGGATCATAATAACATTAAAGAGAAAGTGAGGGAGCAAGTGCCAGTGGCAAGGAGAAATTCTGGAGTGTCTTATCTACACAATATAGAAAAACATACACTAAAAATCGAAACAAAAACAATATAGAAATGTATAATCCGATCTGTCATGACATATACAGTAAAAATCAGACTTGACACAAGCATGACTAAAAGATAATCGGTAAAAAGTTTAATAAGAATAGTAAGAGAAATAATCGCAAAGACCCCATTCGACAGATAAATGAGTAATGAGATTAAAAACCTATGTAGGATAAACCACATTAAATAATGAAATCAAACAAGAAAACGAAAATGAAACAGGCTTAGCCTAAGAGAATTGAAGAGAACAAAATATTTAGAATAATACTGGATAAGTCTCCATTAAAAAAAAGCATAGATCTATCACGATAAAAACGGGATAATCCACTTTTGTAGAAGGCACCGTCGAATAAAAACAGGCAATTTGTCTATACAAAAAAAAACTTCTAATTAAAATTTAAGAAATTTCCTCACTCTATATTAATTATTAGGAATTCTAGATTACGACAGAAAAACGTGAAATATTCTTAAAAAATACATTGACCAAAATTATTATTTTTCTTTCAACAAATATCAGGTTCAAATTTATGACTGCTAGTTTAAATATAGATTACGTAAATAATATACTCTTGCTGTTTTTAAAATAAACAATATCTCCGTTTTAAGGTATCAATTACTTAAACACTGGCGAAATGCGAAATAACTTCATTCACTTACACATCAAATGCATGGGGGAAATCCCAAATTATCTAAATACACAGTGAGCATATTGACAACACTGTATGAGTCTGTAAGGTCGTGTATATGAGGCCATAATACCACAATACTGATAAAAATTATACTAATGAGGCTTTAAAGGTCGCAAATTGTAATGAGTTCGTAAGGATAAGAGAACCGAACAGACAAGTATATATTAAATTTCATCTTATCCAAATAGAAATTTTTGCATTAAGAATGTTTTGTCCCTTGATTCAATATATATGATGACTAAAATGTTATATACACCTCTAAATAGGAGAGGCTGTAAGGTTGCGATGTGGTTTGAGTCCGTAAGAATAGCAGGATGTAAATATATATATATATTATATATATATATATATATATATATATATATATATATATATATATATATATATATATATATATATATATATATATATATATATATATATATATATATATATATATATATATATATATATATTTATATATATATATATATATATATATATATATATATATATATATATATATATATATATATATATATATTGAAGAGCATTGGTGCTAAAACACTTCCCTGTGGGAGGTCAGTTTTTTGAACTCTCTATCTACTTACTTTCCCCTCCATCATAACGAAAAAACGTCTGTGTTGCAGTAAGTAATATACGACCTTACCCAGATGGTGGTCATTGAGAGTGTTGTATAATTTGCGGAGCAATGTTTTGTGCCTTACTGCGTCATAGGCTGCTGTCAAATCTACGAAAGCAGACCCTGTTATAAATGTTGCTTCAAAGCCCTCTTCAGTGTGTCTGTTAGTGCGAGAACTTGACCGGTGCAAGATTTGCCGGGTCTGAATCCTCGTTGTTGTGGGCTGAGGTGTTTGTCGACATTTTTTTCTATTCTGGTGAGTATGAGTCTCTCGTATAGTTTGAAAAAGTGACACAACAGCGAGATAGGTCTGTAGCTACTGGGGTTTTCCGGGTCCTTTCCTGGTTTTAACAAGGCTATTACTTGTTTCTTAAAAAACGAATAATTACATTCAATTTTTTACAGAGGTTGATATTATTAATTCAATACATAACAATAAGGAATTCACATTATTGTGCTATTGGAAAACCTCATTCTAACATTTATTAATTTAATTCCATCTTTGATATTTTTATGATCATAAAATATAAATAAATAAATTCAAGTACGTACAATTCCCTGACGAACGCCCTTGCTATAGTACAGTAATACCGAGATAACAATGGTCCAACTAAGTTACAGAAAATTCTTCCGCTTGTAATGACTACTAAATGATATGATTGTCTGTTAATATAATTTATGAGGTAGATATATATTTTTTTAACAGAGCCCATTTTTGATTTTTATAAATTTGGTCCATTCTGGTTCCATGAGTATGAGGGAATAACCGTGATAGTTCCTTTTAGACTCGCAAATGAAATCCACGTTTGGGCACGATACAGTAGACATTTAACTTGCGCTTTGCTCTTTTATTGCTCCCCTAGCAGCAGTTTGCGTAGATGAAATATCATCGCACTATAAGAGAACGTATAGACTTTGGTCTATAGACTTTTAGATTTCCTAGTTTGATATTAACTTTTTCTTTATCTGAAAAACAAATTTTAATTTTAGCATTTATGTTTTGCTATTGAAACAGATTTTATTAATAAAATACTCGTATTTCTTACAGGAGGCTCACATGAGAAAACATTTCAACACAGAAGAAGACCAGCGTAAAATTCGAGCAGCACCAAGTCCAACACCACCAAATCTAGGTCGTTCTCATGACAGTCTACTTTCCCAAACAGAGGGTGAACAAGTCTATCATTACCTTTCGGGCAAAATGCAGTACCTGGACCTAGATCTTGAGGGAACCAGTAGTTCGAGTTTTACCGGCAATAGTACAAAAACGACTCCTGCTAAACAACAGGAAGATACCGTATATAAAAAAGTCGATTTTATGAAAACACAAGCATTTAATATCACCAGAAATATTTTAGAAAAGGAACGACAAGAACCTGTAACGTTCGTGAAAAAATGAAAAGAAACTATATTGATTTGTATTGTTTAAACTTCTGTATGTGCAATTGTTGATTAGTGCCTCATGCACAAACACAAATATTTATGTCTTTCTCGAAGTTAAGGCTACATATTCAACTTCTTATACAACGACGAACATCATTATTTTGTTGGAAATTAAGGTATAATCGAATTTTATTCTTTACAGCACAGCTAATATTGTTAAACCTTCATGTACGGCCAATTATTGTACTACTGCATAATTTACTGTTACCTATTGTTTTTATGTTATGGTATATTGGCGACGTGCAAGTACTTGGAGGGGATACGAGAAACGATCGTGCGCGAGTAGCGGAGAAATTTTGCATTTTTTAGTGCACATTTCATAGATTTCATAAATTCATATTGTCAATTGTCATATTTCATATTCGTTTTGTTTATTTACATTTACACCTTCTGTCTCTGAAGAAAATGGGATTTAGGAAATGCTGTGTTATAAATTGTAAAAATACAACAAAAAATTGTCAATTTAAGTTTTATTCGTTTCCAACTTCGAAGCACAAAGCTACTACAAAGAGAAAAGTGAATTTATATCATAAAAAAGCATAAGTAACATAACCCAAATTGTGCATTATTCTTGCGCCCGATTTTAAAGTCAGTTTGAAATAAATAATAAATAAAAGTTCACTTTTAAGTGTAAATTTTAGTTTCATAACACTCACTTAGAGTTCATTTTAACCCAAAAATCAAGTTTAATGTTTAAAGTTCATTTTAACCCAAAAATTAAGTTTAATGTTTAAATTTTATTTTTTTGAAGTTTACAAAAATGCATCAAGTTCAAGTTTTTCTGAAGATGCATTAAGATATATTCGCTGTCCAAAAGTTTACAGGGAAAGAATTAATTGTTCAAACCAATATGATGATATCATGGGCTTAACCTGCTAATTTATGCATTAACATTATTTATGGTAATTTATTTTTCTTAATTCTTCCATTCTTTTTTGACATTTGCTACTACTAAAGCTTTTCCCTTTGGCTCAGTGCTTGGTTGAAAAGTTATTTTGAGTATTTTGAGATTTTATTCGAAGGATCAGTTAAACTACAATATGTTTATTTAGTACTTCTCATTAACCAAAAATTCATTATAGCTATAACAGTCGTTACGATTCCTAACGGAATACACATTTTATTATACTTATAGCCCAGGAAAATAAGCTTTTTTCGTGATATTGATCCGGCCAGACAAACAACAGGTGTTTTGAGTAGTGTGGACCTTTGTAACAAGAAGATTATATGTTTCTTGCAATAGATTTTTGGACTTTATTAGTTATTAACAAATTAATGTCAAAAACGGTAAATTTACGGTAAAATTAAATAACTTTTAAAATATTTGGCCTATCGTTTTAAAAATTCGGTACATATTTTAAGCACTGCAAGACTCAACATACCATGTAATATGAAGGTTATAAGTTTATTTTTAAAAAAGTTATTAACATTCATAAAAAATAGAAATGTTTGACTTACTTTGCAACTTTCTAAGCAATAAATAAGGATAGAAACATTCAAAAAACTGTATTTTGAAGGTTTTTGTATGACATAAGTTTATTATTTGTTTCAAATGCTTCACTTTTTGCTGACAGACGAAAAAGGCGAAATTTTGGCCTTTTTTTCACCAATAAAATCCAAAAAATTGACTGCTGGAAATATATGTTATAGAGGTCCATACTACTCAAAACAACTGTAATTTGCCTGGCCGGTTTAGTGTCACAAACAGGGTACCTTTCTAGCTTATTTCGTTGGCCTATTAATAGTATAATGATTAGTCTCTAAAAGTATAAATACACGCTTCTAAATAAATGTACAAAACAATAAACTAAACATACATGTTTACGCCGCTAAACATAAAAAAAATGAGAAGAAGAAAAATTATTCTTAAAAGTAAATACTGAATAACTTATGCAGAAACGTACTAAAAATCTTTTTAAGAAAATAGAAAGCGCATTAATAAGGGATAATAAGAAATATTTTTGAAGGAATCAAACACTTGTCCCAGGTCATGAGTAATTAAACTGCTACTAATTCTTAATCCGCGACTGCTTGATCCGTCTCTCCCTCCCTATTCATGTTTCTCGCCGTCTCTCACTCTCTATTATGTTCCTACTTGCTTGTGGCCACCTTATCTCTGGTTGGGTAGCCTTTCTTCCTATTCATTTCTTTACAGCATTCTCTTTACATATCTCCGAACTTATCTCCATCGATTCGACGGCCTAAGCATCTCCTCCACCAGTTCCGTGACTGATTGCATCCTACCTCCTAGCTCTCTTAAACAGGCTCCTGAGTTATCCATCTATTGCATACCAATAGAATGTGTGAGAGTCCGATATTTCACTTTACAAGCATTTCTGCCTGCAGTCCATCCATCTTTTCACATTTCGATGCAGCGACTTTGTCCACTGCGCCACCCTTCACATCTCGCCGCAATTATCTTGCCACGCCATAATGAACCTTTCCCTCCCTTCTTTTTTTAAACATTTCCTTGCTATGTCTTCATTGCTTCTCTTGTATACTCTTCCTCTTTCCTTCAGTACATCAGAATATACCCGGTACTAACTCCCAGCGCCTCGGCAAACACTGTTCTCTGTGCAATTGCCACCATCAACTAAGTCGTTCTATTTTCTCGGAAGAGGTGCCATCTGTACGCCTTTGTTAAAATTGCCATACCCCAGATAGGTGCGCTTAGAAGACTAACCACTTGAGTCTAATATGCCCCTCCAAATACCGAGAACTTTCCGAAAAAGGAATTACATTGTTCCGTTTCATAGCCTTTCATTAGTTACAGTTAGTAGAACCTTCCCTTATCATTTCTCGCAGGTCGATTCTGCAAATATAACACTGCAAGCTCTTAATTTAAACAGCCAACGAATACTCCCGAACGTTTCCAACTTCTTTCAATAATTTAGGCTCACTCTTCCTACCCTCAGTTTTTGTAGTGCTCACAAATATTTGACTCGAGTTTGGTCTGAACATGAGATCATATTTCCTTCCTCATTGTATAATTGTATCTATGGTACTTACTCTCAAATTGTATAAGGATATTTTCTAGCCATCAGGTTTTCACTTCTTGATCAATAAATGACAACATATTGCATATTAACTTAAAAGTTTTGTTCTCTTCAATGAGATGGCAGATAAAAGAAACCAATCATCAGTCGCTTCGGCTACGTCGACATCTGGAACTTTTTTCGCCACTGAAAAATGAAAACAGGCAAAAAATTCTACGTACAATACCTTCTTTTCGCCAACGTCTGAAATGATTCCATAAACTGTTTTAAAGAAGTAGGTGGTTCTACTTTTCAAGCTCTTACTGTGGATATCACGACTAGTCAGAAATTAGAGACGTGTACCACTCAGTACCACAAGGAGCACAAAAGGTTGAAGAAGCCCAACACAAATTACTGCTGCTGCAAAATCCGTAAAGAACGCAATAAAGACCAAAAAAGCCGCATCAAAAATAAACAAAAAGCGACTAAGACAAAATAATTGAAAAGAAATCAGCATTTAAAACAATACACCAACTAATCAAACAACGGCAAATGCTATGAATAAACCAAATGCACTTAGCCAAAAACTGCCAAAGCTGCAGCAAGTTCATCGAAAGGTAAAAAAGCTGTTGATAAGAAGCAATAACAATTGGATTAATATCTCCGGAATATTAAAAGCAAAAAGAAACCCCTCACATATTTTCCCATGCTTATCCAATCCTTCCAACACCTAGCTCTCATCATTACTTTTAATAAGAATTTTGGCAACCTATCCTAATATTCCTTATTATATTTTATATTTTTTGTGGAATTTTATTGTATATATGTTCACTTTATCAATATAAACTAGAGCAATATATCGGAGAAGAAATTTATTTATATACATTATTTTGACTTTCTGTCTAATCTTGCTCAAAAAGACGCCACACGTGTGCCCCATACTTTAAATTTGCTCTTATCACCGCTTTATACACTGTTGATTTACGCTACTTACTATGGATTTATGAACAGTTGCGGAGTATATAGGAGATGTCACAGAAGTGTATGGAAAATGTCAACTCTAGCTGTTGCTGAATGCTAAGCTATGCTTTTAGATTGAAGCCAACGACTTGATTATCGCTAGTGTTCTATAACCAAGGATGTTGAGGTCACTCTAGAGTTGTGACTTATTTGACAGATCTGGAGAGCAATATTTTTTATTACATGTCGAGTAAATCCTTGATCTGGAGAGTACAGAGTAGTGTGAGTATTTTGCTTCGTGGACGTTTAAACTCACTTATATCTCTTAGGGGATTCTACTGGTTTGTGGAGTGTTTTTTGACGTTCGGTCTCATGGTTAATCCCGATGGTTCAGCTGCCTGTCCTTTGAACACTTAAACTAATAATATTATATTTAAATATATTATATTATATACCTATATGGCCCGTTGGAAAATTCTGAAAAGTGGAGAAGGATTTTTTCTTGTGTCATGTGAGATTGAATCGGTTTCTGGATTTGTCTGAAAATGTCTAATGTAGAATACTAAGTATCTTAGGCAGTGTTCAGTGGGACATATTTTTTCCGTCCAAAATCGTTTACAGCTTATTGTAGATGAATGAGAAGTTAAGTTAATATTATGTACCAAAAGTTCCTACATCTTCTAGGCAAAAAATCGGTTCGTACGTGGAATTTATGTACCTAAATTTCTAATTTGAACGTGTTTTTTTTTATAATTAACAAATAAATCATTTTTGCCCAAATCTACTCGTCTGACTATTTTATTTTTACGCTGCTAGATGGTTGCAATCGTACACGTCACTAGCGGTATTTAGTCGTATGTATGTTAATGCTACATAATTCACATTCCTATTTTCATTGTACAATGTAGAAAGATATGTAGTGTTGCTTGCCCAAACCACACATGTGCCTATCTTGGATGTTACGATCTTCGTAGCTACTACCGATATTTTGCACGTTAACGACTTTTCATAAATTTAAAAT